AAAGATCCATGTCTTTTTATGTTCTCTAATCGTCCAATACAAAATCGTGAGTCTCACCTCGTTCATCAATCACAACATCCTTGAAGTAACCACTTGGCGGTGTTCTAAGACTAACCAATAACTTTTTCTATGAGAGGGAGAAAAGAAAAGTTAAGATGCAAAAGTGGGAGGGACATTTTAGTAATTTCAATGGTCAATTCCACCTCTTTGTGACCATTTTATTTTTAGAGATCACAGCATTTTTTAAATATTAAATTATGGGATCAACTTTCCTCTAGTTTATTGACAGGACCCGAACCCCGCCCTATAATAGTTTACACTTAATTAATTAATTATAATCTTGACGTGTATTTTGGAGTCGTTACATTTACTAATTAGTGTTGTGAGCCCACTTTAAACCTATCTAAAAGATAACAACGGTTAATAATGGTAGATAATTTTATTATTTACACCTTTGATAATTTTAAATACTCAACTCCTTTTATCTCATGCCTATCCATATTTTTTCTTACTTCATAGGGCCACTTCCATAACTTTTCTTTGATGCAATACTTTAATGATCACTTTAGTTTTTAGCCTCAAATTTGCTCAATACCATGTGTCCTCCAATTTTTTTTTCTTGGATCTTGTAGAGCATGTAGTCACTGCTGCAATACCAGGCCTGTGTTCATTTTTTCATCTTCTTTCCTTTTCATTTCAGTGGAATTATACACCTTTTAACCTCTTTTTCCTTGGTGTTAGATTCTTCCATGCATGCTTTGGGCTTCTTCTATATATATGTGTTTATTTACATATAAAGTTTCTATAGGACTATACCATTTTTTGCAGCTTTTTGCATTAGGGTTTACCCACTAGTGTAACACTCATGTCATGCTTTGTGTTCAAAATTAAACAAGTCATGGTAGAGTTGGGTGAGTTATGATGAGCTCATTGCTAAATTGGCAAGTTAAGCTCAGTTGACAATTAATGGAGGAAGAGACTACATATTGTTCTAGTGAAAGAAACAACGACTAGATATTATTATGGGACATAACTTCTTGAATCTATAAAATAGTCTTGAATTCATCAAAAAAAAAAATTATAGCAGGGAAATTCTTAAAAATATTATTGATTGAATGAATAAGTTTCCCATGCCCATAGTCTTACACATATATTTATAATAAACTAGTTGTTTTGAGAATTGATTTTTTTAAATAATTTTTTAATTTCTTACAAAAAAATCGTGTAAAAAATTAGAGAGAAATATAAGATTTTTGGCTAAAAAACCAACTTCTCAAAATAGGCTTAATCTAATACTCGTAGGAAAGGTAATTTTAAAATAAATTACGAAATAAAGTAAGATTGTACATAGTAATTGGATCAAGCGTTCGATAGTGATCGATACACATCATAGATAACTGGGCTAGGATACTGATACACTTGATTTTGGTCAACAAAAACTTGCACAAGTAGAAAATTGATGAAATGATTTTTTTTATTTTCATTAACAAAGAAAACTTAGTTATTAATGTATCGAAAGATTACTATGTAAAAGATTACAATATGAGTATTCCAACGATACATCAACAATACTAAGAACTTGAATCACGTCATTGCTGAAAAAGCATTATTCTAACACAAAAACCTCCAGCCAATCATTTCGAGGTCCAAGGCTGTCTTGACCTTTATTTTTTTTATCAGTAAGAAAGAAATTTTATTGATAAATAATGTATTACACTATATATCAATAAAAAAGATGGATGCACAAGCATCATAGCTAAGTAATATAATCTCAACTTGATTAGGTTCGCTATGATACTTTTTGCATTCATTCTCCTCTTTCTTTATTGTTGTAATAGTTTTCTGTTTTATCAATAAAGTTCATTTTCTTTGCCGATAAAAAAAAAGTAATATAATATCAACTAAGTTAGCACCATAGAATAAGCTCAATCATCTACAACATTAGTGAAAAAGGGGTTTTTTTTTTTTTTTTTTTGTATTACTTGTGTGCATTTGATATTTGCAATGACGATACTTACTAATGTAAAATTATCAAAATATAAGCAGGAAAGTATTACCTTTTTGATGCAGGGTACAAGAACCAAAAAGGTTTTTTGGCACCGTTTAAGGGATGCTGCTACCACCAGGAAGAGTTTCGCGTAACTGGACGGCCAAAAAATGTAAACGAAATTTTCAACATGGTGCACTCCTCCTTATGGAATGCAATTGAACGTATGTTCGGAGTATGGAAAGCGCGATAGGGATTCCTACATAACATGTCGTGATATGATTTCGGGAAAGTGCAGGTGCCATTGGTCGGGGTTTCAATGGCACTACATAATTTTATACGCTGTAACTCGAACGACGATGAAGCATTCAACAAGGTTGCGAATGCATAGAATTTTACTTTCAACGACATGCCAAATGTTGACGGTGTTGGTGACGACAATGATTGTGAACCAGAGGGCGACGATAACGTACATATGAACGAAGTGAGGAAATCAATACAGAATGAATTAGTGCGACATCGGCGTGAACTTGGGTTCTAATCCTATTCGGTATGTACGAGTTGATGGCAAATGAAATGAATGTGTGAAACTGTTGAAAGTGTCAAAAAAATGTACGGTTGTGTTTGTAAGTTGCAAGTTGTGAAGGGCGTTTATCAGTTTGTAATGTGGAAATAAATTAATGTAAGAGCACAATTTGTTGGCAAAAATTAAGAAAATAAATATGCCATTCAATTATAATAATAAAAATAAATAACAAAATTGTAATAATAATAGAAAAAATTTGCATTGCATGAACAAAAAAAATTATAATACTACATAAACAAATTTCATAAAAAAATTCGTAATTAATTAATTTGCACTGTATAACATTGAAAAATTGTAATATTACATTACATTCAAAAAAGTGTTCAAATACACAAAGGCAAAATTGTAAATTTTATAAATTAGCTAAGGATATTTTGGTCATTTTAAAGTAATTTGACACTTTAAAAAAATATTAAACTAAAAAATAAAAAGTCAATTTTTTATCAACTTTTTAAATCACCTTCTAAAAAAATCAAAAAACTTAATAAAAAATTAAAAATTAATTTATTACGAGGTTCTCAAAACACCCCATACTTGTCGTGAAATGTAACAAAACAGTAGGTACTGGTTGCTTTTTGCTTCCCACACCGTGGGAATAGATAATACCGGTCATTTTTCATATAACAGTGTTTTGAATAGATACTAGATGGCTTTTTATCTTTTACAACATAGATTAGACATATATTATAGTAGTGATTGATACCACTAATTTCGTATCACTAAATCATCATTAATGAGGTAAAAAATAATAAAATAAAATAAAGCACAACATACATTGTGACGGTGGATGAAACCCACTACCACATTGTTTGCACCACCACTAATTAGTGGTCCCAAGCAATTTTCTATTTATTATCTGTAACTCACTTATGTTATGAAAAGTATAAGTAGATATTAGGTAATTTTTCCGCTCACAACATTAAAAGCAAATAACAATTCATTTTGAACTTACAATGTGGGTATTTGATAAGTTGTTTTTTTTAGTAGATTATTTTAATTTTTACCTAGTTTAGTAGGTTAAAATTTGTGTATTTAGAAAGATAGTTGAATTTTTTTGTAATTAGATGTGATGTTTATAGGAGAAAAAGTGAAATAATTATGAATTTGATGTGATATTTTGTCTTATTGACTATTTTAACCTATTTTATCTTTTTATAAATTTTAGCCTAAAAAATCAAAAAATAGCCTTTGCTAGCTTGGAAGTTATTTTAGGAACACGAGATGAATAGGCTTTAGTAAGAAAGAAGATAAACTCAGGGCTGGTTTGACTTATCCTATATAAGTTAAAAAGTCAAAAAGTTACTCTAAAATTCAAAAAGATATCACTATTTTAAAAAAAAAAAAAAAAAAAATCAATTTTGTTTCCAAAAAGTACACACCGAATTTAATAAAGTGCGGCTGCTGTGTGCGTAAGTGAGAAAAAAGAAATGATTGGATGTGATTTTTACACACACCGTTGTTTGTTTCATGGGGGCCATCACGGGTCCCGTTTTGATAATCTGAACCGTTCAATGTGTAGCAATCGTCGAGTAATATATGTCTAAAAAAAATCACATTGATCGGATATCGATAACTATATGATCAAATCAGTTATGTACAACAAATGGACAGTGTTATAATTAATGATTGAAAAATAAATAAATCTGATCAAATAGCTATCGATATCCGATTAATGTGATTTTTTATAGGTACATAGTGTTCGACAAGTTACACACATTGAACGGTTCAAATTATTAAAATGGGACCCGTGATGACCCCCACGGGTCAAACAAAACAGTCCAATGCTTTGTACAAAAATTAGCCAATAATTTCCAACTCAAATTACACAGCCAGTTGTGCAGCCGGTTGTACAGCTGGGGCCCACTCCTCTCTTATCATCTCTTACACACTTTTTTTATACAATTTTTTAATACACATTTTTTCATAAAAAGTCAAAAAATTAACCCAAACCTCTATATTTTTTTTTTTTGTCTTTTTTAGTCCAAAAAGATAAAAAGTGCACTTTTTTAGGACACCCCAAACCAGCCCAGTTGAATTCAAAGTTGAGCACAAAAAAAATAAATAATTATGTTAAAAATTTCAAATAATCTATTAAATTTTTTACTAAACCTCTTACATGAGTGTAGGACCCACACACATAAGAAATATTTGATAAAAAATTTAGTAAATTATTTAGGGTTGATAAAATTTTTCCAAAATAAAAAGCACAAAATTCTCTTATTTGATTATAGAAGATGTTTCAATACCAATATCGCCCGGGTGGTTCAATGAAATACTCTCTCTCTATATATATATATTTATATACCAGAACTTTTCAGCGCAAAGCTTCCGTAGCATAGTGGTAGTGCGTTCGCTTCGTAAGCGAAAGGTCGCGAGTTCGATCCTCGCCGGGAGCTCTTCAATCTAGTCTTTTTTACTTTCTCTCGGAAAATCCGGAACAACTTTCCCTCAACCCAAACAGCCCCCTTCCATTCTCCACCACAAATTCACCATCTCAAAAACAGATAAACTGATAACATTTCTTCCATGGATACCCAAAAACCATGGCACTAGTTCCACTCAACCACTTCCCACCAACCTTTACCACCACCAATCCAAAACCCTATTTTCACCCCCAAATCGTCCTCACCAGAAGATCATTAACCAAATCACTCATAACCTCCTCACTCCTCCTCATCTCGAAATTCACAGTCCTGGAAGCCCCAAACTCAATCGCATTAGATCTCTCAATGACAGTTCCGGATCAGACAACCGAGCAAGCAGAGAGCTCGATTCGAGCACACGCAGAGAGTCTTCTCGGAGTGAAGACCTTGTTGGAGTCCTCGCCTCCGGAGGAGTGGAAAGAGGCTCAGAAAGCTCTTCGAAAGAGGGCTTCGTACCTGAAACAGGATTTGTATACGATCATACAGAGCAAGGCCGGAATAGAGAGGCCTCGGCTGAGGAAGCTCTACTCCGATCTGTTTAATGGAGTCACCGGAATGGATTACGCTGCCAGGGATAGGGATGAGGCTAGGGTTTGGGAGTTTTATGGGAATGTTGTTGAAGCTGTTCATGAGATTTTGTCTAGAATGTGATTAGATTGGATTGGATTATAGATAGAGATGAAAATCTTATTACTTCTTCTGCTTCTTCTTCTTCATTAATGGAAGTTCAAATTACTCCTCCATTTTTGAAATCCATGAAAGGATTCGTTTAATCATTGATTTTGACACCCAAAAAAAAATTATTCACAGTGAGTGTTTAGTTTGAATTTTCTAGATTAAGTTTCTTGAAAATTAAATTTTTTGATTTTCATATTTTTTGATTTTTAGTAAATATTTTTAAAATTTTAAACATTTTTTTTTTACTTTTTTAGATGTACCTTACTTAGATATGTCTAAAAAGTAAAAAAAATCGTGAAAAAATATTTTAAAAAAATAAGAAATACATAAAAATATAAAAAATGAATTAAATTCTTGTATTTTTTTGTATTTTTGGTATTTAGTGAATTTTGAAAAGATTTTTTTTTACAATTTTTTTACTTTTTAGGTGTATATATGTTAGGTGTGTCTAAAAAGTAAAAAATTTGCATAAAATATTAAAAAAAATCAATAAAAACAAAAAAACATGAAAAATAAAAATGTAGAATTTTCTGAAAACTGTTTTTAAAAAATGAAAACCAAGCAAAGTGATTGATTTTGAAGATATGAGAATATGTAACAATGGTCCTACATATATCAATTAATATATATTAGTGTATTAATTAGTATTATATTATTATTACTGATCTTATCTATTATACAAAGGGAAATTGTGTGATAGACCCCTTACTGTTTAATTTATATTTCAAAAGGACAAGACTTATCTATTTCCAAACATCAAAATCTCTTACTCCACATCATCTCTCAATACACACATCAATTAATTTTGAATTTTGTAATTTTATTCAATGCACAACTCTTTTGGCAAAAATATCCCTTTCTTTAACATTGAAACCTTAAACCAACACCCATTACTACCTATCGATCACCATCGCTTTATACTTACCCAAAAGCAACTGAAGCATCATATTGGTTCCAATATATCCAGCACCACCAGTCACAAGTATGATTTGCGTCGTAACTACACAAACCCAATTCGGGTATAGTTATATATATCTCTATGTCTGTATAAAAAGAGAGTAATTGAAGACTTTAAACATTTTGGATCTAATACAATTGTGACTTTGATCAAACCTTAACAATCTGTAAAGTAACCCAGAAACTTTATTGAAATTTTTTTTGGGAAAAAGATGAACACAGTGGGTTGGGTTAGGTTTTGGACTGGTCTAGAATTTGGTTCTCAAATGCTCCTTTTAAATGAAGAAGAAGAAGAAGGAGGCTGCCCAAGAGAGAGAGAGAGAGATGAGGGATAGCGATTTTACGGCAAAGAAGTTATAGTGGACTTGATGACGATGGCGGCAATAGCGGTGGGCAATGGCTAGGGTTAGGGTTAAGAAACTAGAGTTTTGGTAGAGAAGATTAGGACATTCTAGTAAATTTTTTTTGGGACAAAATTATAATAAAAAACTAAATCATTAAGTGTGTGGAAATAGAATTTTCCTTTCAAAACCCCCTAATATTTAAAAAATTGTTTCTTTTACTATATTATCCTCATATCTATCAGCTCTCTTATTAAGCCATCTTCACAGTGTATTTCAGAGTAAAATTTTATTTTGAATCATACTAAATTTTATTCTGATTCAAAGTAAAATTTTATATTTTTAAACAAATCAACATGTTTTTAATCACAGTAAAATTTCAGAGTAAAATTTTATTTTGAATCATAGTAAACTTTACTATGATTCAAAGTAAAATTTATATCATTAAGCAAATCGACATATTTTTAACCAGAGTAAAATTTTACTATCATTATATAATTCAAATCTGCAATGAATTGATAGTAAAATTTTACTGTCACTAGGAATCCAAAAACAAATAACAGAAGTACGAAATAACAAAATAAAAGTTTACTATCATTGCGTAAAAAAATAATAAAAAACAGAACAGATAACACCAAAGTAAAAGTTTACTCTCATTTTATCAAACAAAAATAGAGCACATACCAGTGTAAAATTTTACTCTCATTTTATCAAACAAAAACATAGCACAAACCAGAGTAAAATTTTACTCTCAATCTGTCAAGCAAAAACAGAGCACAAACCAGAATAAAATTTTACTTTCATTCTGTTAAACAAAAACAGAGTACAAACCAGAGTAAAATTTTACTTTCATTCTGTCAAACAAAAGCATAATACAAACTAGAGTAAAATTTTTATTCTCATTCTATCAAACAAAAACTAGAGCACACACTAGATTGAACTCGGCAAATCAACAAAAATAAAACAAAAACAAAAACAAAAAAACTGATCAACATATGTCGAAGATCAAATAGCGACATCGAACCAAAGGTGAGGGTCAAGTCATCAATCCAAATCTTAGGCAAAATTTTGAGCTATAAGGTCGACTCCAAATCAAAACTCAAAATCGAGTTCGTAATGGTGAAATCACACCAAATTCGAAATGCCACAAACCAGATTTGAGATGTCATTTGTCAAATCCAGATCTGGCCAAGCGTCTTAAGCATAGATCTCAAACTCAAACTAGGACTCCTCTCAGATCACAAATTGAACTGAGGACTGAAGGAAGATGGAGAACCTTTGTTAGAATTTCAGTCCAGTAAACAAGTGAATAGAGTATGGTAGAGGTGTATGAACCTCTAGTTTCTTCAATTCTAGGATTTCCAGAAAAGAAATGGAAGGCTTGATGACATTGGATGCAGAAAAGGGGGTGGCGCTGGGGAATCATGGCAGTTGGTGGCCGGAATACATTGGCGGCACCGTCCGGCGGCGGAGGTGGCCTCTAACATAGCTATGAAGAGAAGCTGTGCTTAGAGAGGAGAGGAGAGAGATGGAGAAGGTGAAGAGAGAGTGGGGAGAGAATGTGGGAAGATTTAGTTGAGGGTATAATAGTCTGATAAAATATTTAAATAATAAATTTTATCCTTTATGCAAGACTTTATAATTATGAGAGGGTTTAGAAAGTATAATTTTTTTTTAGTCCTTTTAACAATGAAAGGAAGGTAAGGGGGGTTTATAGCCAAATTTCTCTTATAAAAATTACAAATGAGTTATATTAGGGATCCTAAATAAATTACCAAATGTTTTAACAAATCTCTCACATAGGTCTGGGACACACAGAAATCACATGTTTGTGGGTCCTACACCCATGTGAGAGGTTTGGTAGAATATTTGATAATTTATTTGGGATCTCTAGCATTCTAAAATTATGCCACATTATCTGTTAGTATACTAGTAAGTACATTAATTGTACATATAGCATTATTTAATATGTAATGAGGGTTGCAACCCAGCGAAGTTGACGAGTAGATTGTTCGAATTTATTTTAAAATTTTAATTAGTGCACTTATGATATATATATATATATATATATACACACAAAGAAATAAATTTAAACTCATGAAAATTGTATATAAAAAACAAAAATACTAGAGGTTTCAAAAATTCTACCAAAAGTTCTACCAAATGTCTCACATGAGTGTGAGACCCACATTACCCATGTGAGACATTTGGTAGAATTTTTTGGGTCTGTAGCATTACTCTATAAAAAAATAAAAATGTAAATAAAAATATTATAAAGAGAGTTCCTTAAGCACACAAGTAGCTCAAAGGTCTAGTCAATTTGGGTGGGGCTTCAATTTCAGAAGACAACTTCGAGCTTGGGAAGAAGATGAGTTGGCCAGATTTATCACTGTTTTGGGGAATGCCCCTGTTCTAAGAAGTGATTCAGTCGATTGTTTGGGATGGAAGTCCTCACAGTCAGGTACATTCAAGGTTCATCTTGCTTATGATTGAGGTTTGATTAATGATGGGCCCTGTCACAGATCAGTTGATATAATATGGAATAATTTCTCACCATCTAAAGCAAAATTTTTCTCTTGGTTAGCTTGGAGAGATAGACTGAAAACCAAAGAGCTGTTGCTCAGACTTGTATTTTCTGTCAGCAGGACAATGAATCAATTGACCGTGTTATGCTTCATTGTCCTTTTGTTTGGAAGATTTGGTCTGCTATAGCTGAATGGTGGGGCTTTCAGTGGGTTATTCCCAGATCCATTGATGATTTATTACTTTGGTGGTTGGGTTGGAAGTTTAAGAAGAAAGTCAAGCAAGTGTGGAGGATCTTACCAGCAACAGTTTTGTGGTCTGTGTGGAGATACCGTAATGAATGTGTTTTTAAGGCAGCTCAACCTCATATTCATGATCTCTGTGAGTGTATAAAGGTGAGGATATCAATTTGGATGAGATCCCATTTTACTAGTGCCTCATTTTTAGTTAATGATGTTGTATTCAATTTTCACCATGTTAGAAGCTGTTTAGGAGCCTCATGAACTGCTTCTGATGATGGGTTGGTTCTGAGCTGCTGATGAAGATGCTCGTGTAGGTTCTATTTTGTTGTTTAAGTCTCAGATGCTGATGTAGGTTCTGAGCTGCTAATAAAGATGGAGTTGCTGCTGTGGGTATTTTCTTTATTTGCTGATCGAGCTGTTGCTGTGGATGATTTTGGTCTGCTGTGGGTCTCAGTTGTATTTTTTTTTTTTTTTTTTTTTTTTTTTGAGTCTTAGATGCTACCGGCATGAGCTTGTGTTGTCTTTGTCGGATGCTACTATTTTGTTTGTTTTTTTTGTTCTATTTTTTTTTTTTTGTTTGGCTCTCTTGCTCAGCCTTTCAGGGTTGAGCTAGCATATGATGTGGGTGTTTCCCTTGGTGCCAACACATACGTTGAGAGTGAAGGGTTTCCACTTATGTTCTTTTCCTCGCCCTTCGCTTTATTGATGTATCCATTAAGTTTGATGTTACAATAAAGTTTTTGCTGATCCAAAAAAAAAAAAAAAAACATAACTAAGTTTAGTTATATTTGGATTTAAATTGAGCATGCTCCTTATATATTACAATAAAATGAAACACATAAATTATTATAATTGAAGAAAAAATATAATAAAAAATAAATAGGATTGAACAAAAACTTGTGATAATTATTTTAAATCTTGATTATCATCATATTTAATAACTAAAATAACAAAAAACATCAGTTAATTTAAACATATTTAAGACATAATTTTGATATCACTTTAATCTTTGATCATTTTATTATCAAATAAAAATTAAATTAAATTAAATTAAATTGTATAATTAATATCACTAACCTATAAGTCAGCCCATTAACCCGTCTCACCCCCATCATAAAAAGGATGATCGAGCTTAGCCTATGAGAGAAAAAGTTATTTGGTGCTTCTGAGACGTTATGTGATGATACATCCTCATTAATTACAAATATCTATGTCCTTTTATGTTCTTTAATCGTCCAATACAAAATCGTGAGTCTTACCTCGTTCATCAATCACAACATCCTTGAAGTACCACTTGGCGGTATTCTAAGACTAACCAATAACTTTTTCTATGAAAGAGAGAAAAGAAAAGTTAAGATGCAAAAGTGGAAGGGACATTTTAGTAATTTCAATTGTCAGTTCCATCTCTTTGTGACCATTTTATTTTTAGAGATCAAAGCATTTTTTAAATATTAAATTATGGGATCAACTTTCCTCTAGTTTACTGTCAGGACCCCGAATCCCGCCCAATAAGAATTTATACTTAATTAATTAATTATAATCCTGATGTGTATTTTGGAGTTGTTACATTTACTAATTAGTATTGTGAGCCCACTTTAAACCTATCTAAATGATAACAACGGTTAATAATGGTAGATAATTTTATTATTTACACCTTTGATAATTTTAAATACTCAACTCCTTTTATCTCATGCCTATCCGAATTTTTTCTTACTTCATAGGGCCACTTCCATAACTTTTCTTTGATGCAATACTTTAATGATCACTTTAGTTTTTAGCCTCAAATTTGCTCAATACCATGTGTCCTCCAATATTTTTTTCTTGGATCTTGTAGAGCATGTTGTCACTGCTGCAATACCAGGCCTGTGTTCATTTTTTCATCTTCTTTCCTTTTCATTTCAGAGGAATTATACACCTTTTAACTTCTTTTTCCTTGGTGTTAGATTCTTCCATGCATGCTTTGGGCTTCTTCAATATATATGTGTTTATTTACATACAAAGTTTCTATAGGACTATACCATTTTTTGCAGCTTTTTGCATCAGGGTTTACCCACTAGTGTAACCCTCATGTCATGCTTTGTGTTCAAAATTAAACAAGTCATGGTAGAGTTGGGTGAGTTATGATGAGCACATTGCTAAATTGGCAAGTTAAGCTCAGTTGATAATTAATGGAGGAAGAGACTACATATTGTTCTAGTGAAAGAAACAACGACTAGATATTATTATAGGACATAACTTCTTGAATCTATAAAATAGTCTTGAATTCATTAAAAAAAAAAAAAAAATAGAAGGGAAACTCTTTAAAATATTATTGATTGAATGAATAAGTTTTGCATGCCCATAGTCTTACACATATATTTATAATAAACTAGTTGTTTTGAGAATTGATTTTTTTTAATAATTTTTTAATTTCTTACAAAAAATTGTGTAAACAAATAGAGAGAAATATAAGATCTTTGGCTAAAAAACCAACTTCTCAAAATAAGCTTAATCTAATACTAGTAGAAAAGGTAATTCTAAAATAAATTACGAAATAAAGTAAGATTGTACATAGTAGTTGGATCAAGCGTTCGATAGTGATCCATACACATCATAGATAACTGGGCTAGGATGCTGATACACTTGATTTTGGTCAACAAAAACTTGCACAAGTAGAAAATTGATGAAATGATTTTTTTTATTTTCATTAACAAAGAAAACTTAGTTATTAATGTATCGAAAGATTACTATGTAAAAGATTACAATATGAGTATTCCAACGATACATCAACAATACTAAGAACTTGAATCACGTCATTGCTGAAAAAGCATTATTCTAACACAAAAACCTCCAGCCAATCATTTCGAGGTCCAAGGCTGTCTTGACCTTTATTTTTTTTATCAGTAAGAAAGAAATTTTATTGATAAATAATGTATTACACTATATATCAATAAAAAAGATGGATGCACAAGCATCATAGCTAAGTAATATAATCTCAACTTGATTAGGTTCGCTATGATACTTTTTGCATTCATTCTCCTCTTTCTTTATTGTTGTAATAGTTTTCTGTTTTACCAATAAAGTTCATTTTCTTTGCCGATAAAAAAAAAGTAATATAATATCAACTAAGTTAGCACCATAGAATAAGCTCAATCATCTACAACATTACATTAAGTTGGTGAGCGACCAACCAAAACATAAAAACCACAAAATACATCAAAAGTAACAACACCACTATTCCCAGCACTGTCTTGATCCTTATATTGCACACTAGTTGTCTTTTTTTTGTTTACTTGGATCAAACTAAAGTTTTAAATGGAAAATTGTACATCTAGAATCAATGACTTTTAAGTTTTGATCACAGCTGCTGCTTATATTTTTTTTCAAGGCCTATTTATAATAATTTGTGCATTTTCTAGGCTACAACTTGTCCTTTTGCATAGGTTTTTTCTGGGACAAGTCCTTTTTTGCATAGGTTCTAACTTATTCAAACCTTTTTAATAGTTAGTTTGTTAGAACTAGAGTTAGATTGCAGTTATGGTTAGAACTAGAGTTAGATTGCAGTTATGGTTAGGTTAGGAGGTTAGAAGGTAGTTATTGTTTCTCTATAAATACAAGTTCTGTAATTCTATCTTGCATTGAATAAAAAGAGTCACATTCTCTTTAAAAATAACCAGGGATTAAATCAAATAAGCTAGAGTTTGTGAGTTTATTGGCTTATTTCGTAAACTTTAAAGTAAACCTAAATTAAGGTTTGAAGGCCATAAATTTGGTCAGTCATACCTTACGCTGTCCATTTCCATAGTGGAATTCAGGGGTTTGTTTTGGTTTGGTTTTCAATTAACTGTTTACGTGTTTATTGATTTTAGGCACTAATCACTACCAAATATCTATGCGCGCGCGTGTTGTGCTTGTTAAACTTATTTGACAAATAAAGATTGGATGATTTTATCTTTTAAATATTTTGAATCTCTGAAATTTTATTTTTCTATTTGCTAATAAAAATTCACAGGCAATTATGTCTTAAGCATAAGGGACCAAATCCGAGGGTGGTGTTATTGAAAACATTGAAACACTACTTACCTAATTCAATATCCACATTTTGGCACATATTTTTCTCTTCTTTTCTTTTTTTTTTTTTTTTTTTTTTTTTTGTGGGGGGGGTGCTTTTTCGTTAGTCACACATTTTAAGAATATTTTGTTTCGAAAGCGTTGCATGGTTCATGAAAGCTACTTTGTGAAAAATCAGAAAAAAAAAATTTAAAAACGAATTCCACATTGATTTTTCAAGTAAAATTCCAAAATCAACTTTACTTAATTTTTGTGAAAAGCTTTTTAATAAGCAAAAAAGAGAAATTTTATTGATAAAAATCAACGTACATAAAATACAGAGAGATAAACATCGATAAAGGATTTTTTGTGAAAAAATTGACTAGAAAATGTAGAGTTTTAATTAATCATATCACTAAAATGTGAATGCCATTTGTATTTGATCCATGGTTGGCTATTATATCAATAGGTACTTTCTTTGGAATTCACTTAACCAATTACTAGAGTAGCATGCCTACAAATGTTCTTGAGTAGTGATATAGAAATAGAAAATTTGCATATAAAATTAATACAAAATATTAAAACGAAATAATCATCAAAATGACATCATTCTGATAAAAAATTATGTAAGGAAATTTGATAAATATATGATTTTCCAACATTCTTTGGAGCTTTGAGAATCATTTTCATTTCATTTTTGGGGAAAAAGAAAAGAACTATGAAAAATTGTTATACTGATTAACAGTTAAATCACTAATTGTTGGCTAATGTTGTGATTGCCAAGTTAATTTGATTTTTCATTTTATATCGATTTGAGGGCAATTATTTTGTACAAATAATGTCAAAGATTAGTTCTATAGGGTTTTAAATATGATCCGTTACCTATCGTATTGATTGATACGCAACATGATTTTGGACTTCAAATATCGTTATTCACTGATATTGGTCGATATTGGAGATATGCATTAATATCGGTAATATACTTATATATCAGTAGATATTGTATATAATTATATTACCGATATTAATACATATCTCGATACCGTTATTTAAAACCATTCTATACCTAATTTACCCCCTCCCAGACTTATCCATTGAGACCTAAATTGGGTTTGTTTTTCATTTTATTTTAATGTGTATTAACCACAACAATGTACATTAGCTAGCCTAAATTTCTAATCATAGCAGCTCACGAATTTTTGAAGCTTCAGGCTAAATGCTAAAATGAGGTTGTGTTCTATTGTGCGTATTAAAATTTGGGACTTTTGATAATAAGAATATGTTGAGATTTTTTTATGGGCCTTAGGCAATTGACTAAGGTCTTATTTGACAACCTTCAGTTTTAATTAAAAAGTCAAAAAGTAATTATAAGTTATCACATTATTCTTTCTATTTTTCTACACAATTTTTCATAAAAAATTAAAAAATTATTAAAATAATTTATTTCCAAACGAGACCTAAGTGGCCCAATAAACAATTTCTGCTCTCACACGCAGAAAAATAAATGAAGATCAGAGAGGCATCCAGAAGGACTAGAACGAGAAGCATGTAGGCAGTTGAAACACCAGGGAGAGGTTGTCTTTTTTGATGAAACCATAGCCAATGCAAATTACAAAGTGAATGCATGCAACAAAACTATATAACTCATGAATCAAAAAGCTTTTAGGTACTAAGGACAAAGTTTCTTTTATATTAAATTTCACTAGATTATGGCCTGCCCTATATACCACATTCTATTATATGACAAGAAAAAAGAAAAAGAAAATTAAACCAAAGCATGAAATATATATATATATATATATAACAGTACAACAGTCAACAAACTTCCTACATGTATTTTATATGTTCCATCTGCTGAATATAATGATTATTTCTATATACAAAAATACAAGAAATAGTGTCTTACCATAAAACCGCTATTTTGATCGTTCTTCATTCTTCCCACGCGTTGATTTGATTCACTCACAGCTTACTGGTATTGCACCAATTGAGTCTATGATGATGCTTCGAAGAACGTCACCGCATATGATTTTATAGTAGTACCAACAAAGCTGTTGATTATGTAAAGAGGAATAGACAGATATATATGTTTCAAAAACCAGTGTTGCCGCCTTTGTTCGGTTGTCTTTGATCATCATTCTGTGACTGAAGATGAAGTACTTTGGAAGTAGAACTCATTGGAGAGGTAAATGAATGAAGCGACGACATAAGGGGATTTGGTAGAGCTTGCTGCGAATTTGAGCTCCACAATTGAAAGTGGTTGGTTGGCAATTGCCTTGTGTCATTCTCTCCCAAAGTGATGTATGGAGGGTATGAAGGGAAAATTGATGGTGTCGATGCAGGCGGGTAGAGAAATAACTGGGACCTGGATGGGAGAGCTAACGAAGATGGCAATGGCATCAAATGGCCAGTATTGGCGCCTTCTGTTTGGGGGAGAAGTCCATGCGATCCGAATTGAGACAACGATAAATTTGATGGCTCCCATTGATAGTAGTTGTATGGCATTGGCATGGCATTGTTTAGCAAGCTCGGAAATGAAGAATTGCTCGCTATTGGAAAAAAGTTTTGGGCCGAAACTTGTGCATTGTAACCTGCACTACTACTTCCATCTTGATGATTTTGGTGTTCATTTGTCCTCATCCACTTCGCTTTCTCAACAATATTAGCCTCTCTCTCAACTTCCTTTAGCTTTGCTCTCATAGCGGTATCATCTAAATCCCAAGTTTTCGATTGATTATCCCCCACATTGTAATTGATCTTAATCCCTTCTTTATTTGGAAGCAAAGATTGAGTTCCTCCATCCTTCATGTATGTTGGGATCGAGCTAAAGAATGAAGAGAAAGAAGATTGAGGGGCATTATTCAACTCTTGATGAGAAACTAGTGTCGGTTGATGAAACTGAGTGAAACACCCCGGGGGAATTTGAAGGGGTGGAAGCTCATCGATTTCATGTTTGGTAGCGTCGAGCAACCAATCTACAACCTTGCTAGGCTGATTTAGACCGAGTCTATCTTGAAGATCATACAACTGAATTGCAGTGGGAACTGAAAGCCTAATTCGCCGATCCCTTAATCCCCTTATGGTGGAAACCTTACTATGCCTATCTTTTCCTCCAAAGGCACGCGAGACGCGTACAATCCTCGGATTCTTGAATGCTGACCATTGTCTTGAACTTGATGGTGCCTTAGTGACCTTGCTATTGCTTGTATCACCTTCAACCTTTGCTTGAAAATCTTTTCCTCTTAATTTATGATCATCTTCTCTCATCATTGATCTGAAAGGAAACAAGTTAACCTAGAAAAGTTTTCCACATGTCAGTAGATATACACAGTCTTGTTCTCTGCTGTTTTAGAAAAATTCTAGCAATTTTTGTAACAATATGTTTTGTAACTTTTTTTTTTTTTTAAAAAAGAAAATGTTTTGTAACTCATGGGAATTAAAACTTCTACTATAAAAAAAAAAATTGCGCTAAAATATTTTCTCAATCAGTTGCAAGTATGATTGTGATTCTCCACCTTCAACAACCTGCATATTCTAGCCAAGTCACTTAGGTAGTAAACTATACATGAATTCAAAGAAGCTTAATTCTTCTTCAAGAATTTCTGTGGAGAAACCAAAGCAATAATTAGGTTAATTTTAGGGTTTCTAAAGCAAAAATGACTCAAACCAAACCAATTGAACATAACATATGGAAAAAAAAATGGCACACACACGAGTTCTGGAGAAGATGATTTAACTTGACCTAGCTAGTTGGAGATTGCAAGAACAGATTTATACGGTGGAAATGAGTTGACACGATATCCCTTTTTCACAACTAAGAACAAGAACACAGTAGATGAGCCGATCCAAAAAAAAAAAGAACACAGTAGATGAACTTACTTTAGGTGGAGATTTCATGCTATTCGCAGCTCAAATATTTGAATTATTGATGGTGTAAAACATATCCACACAGATGAAGAGCAGCACATCAGTGACATCAAAGACCAACTGTAGTGCTCTTAAATGGAGATGAGCTTTGTAAACAATTGAATGTTAAAATCTAGTTCCCTTCAAGAGAATAAACTCATCAAAATAATTCACAATTTTCGGAGAGAATAGACGTGCGAATCTTACCATGCCATGTTGCAAGGGAGAGAAAAAGAAAAAGATATGGTGTATTTGCGCCCACGTCGCGTCTTTGTCAATTTGATAGGCTAATAGCAGTTAAATTTCTTAATTTAACTAAAAGCAAATTTGTATTGCTTAACCTCTGCATTTTTACATCTTGGTTATTCAGTATTCATATTAATTTTTGTGTGGTACATAGTAGGCATTTAACTTATTTGGGGACCATACAACAATATAGAAAAAGTTGGGTTAAAATGCTTTATTGACATATTCAAAATTGCTTTATCAGTGAATTCCACATAGCATGGCTTGAGAATGCATGCCTATCTCAATAAAATAAAATAAAAAGAAAGAAAGCATGATGTTGAAACCCTTTATTGGGCACTATCTTTTCTTTCTTTCGATTTCCAAATAATTTCTTTTTAAAAAAAAAAACATATCTTCATCTTTTTGTAATTAAAAATAACTTTGCATAGTATTACCAGAAAAGAGGATTTTCATTTACAAATATACATTTTATTTTAGGGCGAAAAAAGAGGAACATGTAAATCTCACCCGGAATTAGTATTTAATAACAATACAAGATTATAAATCTAGATAAGTTGAAGCATGTGGCTCCCAAAGTTTCTGGCTATGATATTAGGGCTTCATATCATCAGCTGGATAAGCTGATTGATAGATAGAAGGCCAGCTACCTCATAGAGGAGGGACCAAATAATAGGGTTCTTATTTAAAGCATCCCACTCACTTAGTACTCAAAAGAGGACCACAAAGTTGGAAGACTTTGCGAAATTAGGCAATGAAGATTTAATCGGTTCATAATTCCTGGGTCTTCATATAGATCTTCTGCTAGAAAAAAGCAAACAAAAAAAAAAATGAAGAAAAAAAAAAAAAAAAAAAAAATGAAAAAAAAAAAAAAAAAAACACTTATTTAAGACCAAAACCCTAGAGGCAATGGATATACGTTGTATCCTTAAGTTTTTCTAATGGTTAACCAATACCCGTGTTGTTGAAGTTTTGAATTCGACTTTCTTAGAATTATTGGGTTTTGTATGCTTGTGACTTTTTATTGTTAAGACCTTTTTTTCAAAGACCTTGGAGCTACACAATATGTCAAAAGTTGTTAATTAACACATGAAACTTTAGCATACTCTATATTATATTTCTATTATATTATATCAAGTAAAATAAGAAGAAACTGTAAAAAAAAAAAAGAAAAAAAACAAGAAAACTGATTATATTATATTTACACATGCATTGAGTCTATATCCACCACCTGTATCTCTTCTATTATATAACGCCAACCCTTGAATTGGCATAGATTGAAGTCGGATCACACTAGAAATTGCCTGAAGCAGTTGTTAACTCTCTATCTAATTGTTTTAATTAGTAACTGTGAAATCTAATTGATTCATATACGCGACGTGTGCCAAAATTTCTAGTATGTATATGTATTGATAGGTAAAAGATATCGACAATTAGGGACAAAATTCGAGGGGTTGGGAGAAAAAAAATCACCATATACACAAACACACATGTATGTACAACGTAATATATAAATTATATTTATATATAGAAAAAAAATTAAATTTCATAGAAGCAATTTCTAATAGGATAAAGAAATTTTTTTAGTGCAAAAAAGAAAAAGAAAGCAAGATGAAAGAATAAAAGGATACGTATTTTTTTTATATTGGGAGGCCATTTTATATATAAAATGATAAATATTTTTAAAGTGCTTTGACAAACATTATTTTCACAGAAACAAGGGGTCATGGCCTCCATAATATTCTCCTAATTCCATTTCTGTCAACAATAATAGTTCAATTAAGTCATCGCTAGGAGCTTCCTATCATGTTGATCATAGAGAATTAGTTTTCAGCTTAGCTGGTGAAGTTTGCAGCTGGTGTCCCTTTTTCTTTGTTTTTGGTTTCTTTCTTCCTTGTTGGTTTCTCACCAACTCGGGGGTGCTAGCAAATGATAGTTCGAGTTTTTTGGTGCCAACCTAGTTGGGATCTTTCAGCTCGTTGTGATGCTCCTGCACTGCCCTTCTCTTTATTGGTGTACTGTTTTGTACCTTGTGCTATTTTACATCAATAAAGCTTCTTTTTGCTGATCAAAAAAAAATAGTTCAATTAAGTCGCTGAAACAAGCAGAAACCCCAGAAATGCAGCATGAATTGAGAAACCTCAAATGAGGACCATTGTTTCAACTTCTGAGATTAAATTAATGCCTGCAACAAAAAATAAAAAAATGACATTAATTACTAGTAAAAAAAAAAAAAAATCAGTGAAGAAAACCTGACTTATTTGGCAAGAGTGCTTGTATTGAGAGAGAGAGAGAGAGAGAGAGTATCTAGCTATATAGTTGCACTAGTCATCAGTGTATTGCATTATCCTAGCAAAATAGAACCCTAAACTAGAAACCGTAAAACATGCTACTTCTTCAACAGTGTGGAGCAAATTAATTCCCAGGATTCTTGATGAGAACCAGAGTGAAGTCCCACAACAGTCACAGTGTAGTATGCACCAGAATATGAAGTCCCAACAGTCTTGACAAGCACAAGCTGTGTGGTGAGGTATCCTCCTCTGGTTTGAATCCTCAATAGGAGAGAGAGAGAGAGAGAGAGTCTAAACCACTCTTTTTTTCTTCTCTTTTTCATGAAATTACCATCCATGTGTTCGCTGTTTTTTGCTGAGGGTATGTAATTTTAATTTATGTATATAAATGGACAGTACAAAAATAAAAGGGAAAATTATAATTTTAGTGTTAAACATTAGTGATTTTTTTTTTTTTTGATCTGCAAAAAGTTAGTTGTTGGTGTAAGCCTCCCTACCCTTTGCCTCCTAATTTAATTTCTTCTTAGGAAAAGTTGAATCCATAAATTTTTCGTTAAGACTAAGCCTTTAAGAGGGTCATGGGGGCTAACTAGACTAAACCTAATTGGTTCCTTAATGATAAAATAATAAACATTAATAATTAAAATCTTAAACTTTTTCATGTATTGTAAATATTTTTTCAAAAGACCACTGATTGTCACTCTCTCAAAATAAAATAAAATTGCTAAATAATGCCTATAATTCAAAATATATATATATATATATATATATTTAAGGGTATGGCTTCTGTCCAGTCCAGGATCGGACTGGACCGTGTTGTTGGACCCGTAGGGGATTACCACGGGTCTCATTTTGATAATCTGAACCGTTCAATGTGTAGAACTCATCGAGTACTATTTGCTTATAAAAAATCACGTTGATCGGACATCGATAGCTATATGATCAAATCAGTTTCGTATTAAAAAAATTGGACGGTAAACAAATTAACGGTTGAAAAAAAACTGTTTTGATCACATAGCTATCGATATCCGATAAACGTGATTTTTTACAAGCATATAGTACTCGACGATTTTTACACATTGAACGATTCAAATTGTCAAAACGAGACCCATAGTGGGGCCCCACAGGCCCAACAACACGGTCCAGTCCGATCCCGGACTGGATAGAAGCCATACCCTATATTTAGGCCTCGTTTGGGAACAAGCTAATTTAGTAACTTTTTGGCTATTTGGCTAAAATATGAGTTAAAAAAAAACTAGTATATTTGGAATGACTTTTTAACTTTTTACGAAAAGATGTGCAAAAAGTAGAGAGAAAAGAGAATCTTTGACTTTTTGGTATGAATTGTTGGCTTTTTAGCTAACTAAAAAGAAAATTTCCCAAACAAGGCCTTAAAACACTCGGTGTCCTGCTCATTGAACTAACACTGTCCGTGATTATTTAGAGTTATCAGTTTGCACAAATGCAAATTTCTCTCTCATGGGAATGCAAGCAAGAACAAAACAACAATGCTATATATTCAGAAACATTACTCAAAAACTACATTAATAGGTTATATTTATTTTGAGTGTGGTTCATATCACAAATATTTTAAGATTGTATTTAAATCATAAATTTAGACAAAAATTTTAAAAAAGAAAAAGAGATAAAAAAACAAGATAAATATAAATAAAATATAAATAATTTTTTTATTATTTATTTTTTTTAAATTTATAATCCAAACACAACTTATATATATATTTATATGTGCCTCAGCTTGCAAAATAACTTTTGAGGTATAAATACTGGGCTACATAGCCTTTTTTAAGCAGAAAATTGGTGCACATCCCAAGAAAGGATGAAGCAGTTTTTTTTTTGATGGACAGAATGGATGAAGCGGTTGTGATTTATTTTTTTGGGTAAACAGACAATAATAAATGGTCCCCTGATCAGAGACAACACTGCATTTTTCACAGACAAAATTTAAGAACAAAAAAAGTTACTGTATGATTGCTAGGTATGAATGAGCAATTGTAGCAGCGTGAGACCAGTTTCTCTCCTTCTCTAACTCCAACAAAAAGGGAGTAGAAGCACAATTTCCTGCAATTTCAATTTTGGGTATCCATGTGTTGAAGGGCTAGCTACAGCACTCATGTTTCATATACCTTTTGTAACACCACACACATTTCAGAGCAGCCTAGGATTGTTCGGCCAATTTAAAATGAATAACGTTAGGTATTAAGAACTCGTATTTTTTCAGATTTAATTTTAGTTTGCATTCTAATATGTAGACGCTGAATCTGAACTGCATATTTGTATTGTTTTGACATTTATATATATATATATATATGTGTGTGTGGGGGGGACATAACTTTTGAATGACAACGCGTGGCCGAGGTGTCACCGAAGTGTCAATCGAGGTACCACGTAACCTGATCGTAATGCCGAGGTTAGCTCGGATAGGCCGAGATTATCTCCGAAGATATCGGAATCCGGGATAAACGGATAAGGAACAAGAGTCTTAGAATGAGAGCTATGTAATTTGATCGTAACGCCAAGGTGATCTCGGTTAAACCGAGGTTATCCCCGAAGATACCGGAATCCGGAATAAGCGGATAAGGGACAAGAGTCCTAGAATGAGAGAAGACTTCAATTTGGGTAAAGATAAGACTCTTAGGGAGTTTATCTTAATCCTACTGGGAGTCTAAGATTAGCAGTAATCCTAAGTCCATTAGA